GTGGCTTCCTGCCCCCGCAGGCGGAGTCCTCTGAAAGGAGCAGTCCCACGGAGCGCTGAGCCAGCCCCTGAGCCAGGTGGCAGGGGGTCTGCGGCCGTCCACACTCCACCACTCCCCTCCACTTCAGTCAGCGCTGGTTGCCCTCATAGACGGGGAGCAGAGAACTAGGGAGCTGTCCACGGCAGCTGTGAGAGACAGAGCCAGGATTTGAACCCAGGCCCTCTGGGTCTTCCTTTTACCCTCCTCATATGCCTCCTCTCCTGTGGGGAAACTGAGGCCCCAGAACCTTGTTCAAGGCCACACAGATGAGTGTGAAAGGAGAGGAGTCGACAAGCTGTTCTATCTCCACTAAGGAGAAAACAGGAAAGCCAGGGTTAAGATGCAGCAGGCAAGACCTGGGTTAGACTTTTGGGTGACCTGGAGAGGGATCAGAAGGGAGGGTGTAGGCTATTCTCTCCCAGGTGAAGGGAGGAAGTACTGGTGTCCAGGTGGGTGAGGCTGTGGTCTGTGGGGCCAAGAGGGAGGCAGGCAGGAGGGGGATGAGAGGGAAGTGCACGTGGAACCCCTGCAAGCTCCAACAGGAAGGTGTGGGGTCCTCTGAGCAGAGGTCAGTGCTGTCCAGAGGCCCTGAGCCGGGGCTCGTCTGCTGTGGGCCCTGTTCCTGGCTGGCCGGAGCCGCCTCCTGACCCTGGGACGGGCCTGCTCTTCCTCCAGTCCTTGACCTTGAAGCACCAGGGACGGACAGCTGCTGGCCAGGGCCTCCCGGGACAGAACCTGGGAGTCCTGTGACCAGGAGCCGGAGGTGCACCCACCGCAGGCCCAGGAGAGGCCCTGGACGTGGGCAGCGCCTGCAGAAGGCACGAGCCGGGTCCTGGCACCTGCGGCCTGCCCTGGGGCCCGCGTGACCCCGCCCCGAAGCCAGACCCCACCTCACCTGGGGACGCATGGAGGTTGGGGCAGGGGCTGCCTGGCTGGGCCACCTCCTGCGCCCAGCTGGAATCCTGTGGCCACCAAGGGAACCCTGTGGCCTTTTGAGGAGGCAGAAGACGGGACGGGGCAGGCTGCAGATCGCAGTCCTCTCACTCCACCTGCAGGCAGAGGGCTAGGGCAGGGAAGCAGGCTGGACGTCCTCCTGGCCAGACGCAGGTGTCCTTTCTGGGCCTGGCTGGGCCCTCTGGGTGGGCAGCCCCACATCCAGTGTCCTTCCGGGCAGCCCTGGGGAGGGTCTTGGCAGGTG